TCAACTTGCAGTTGGTACAGTCAGCCCAATGCGCTGACCCATTTGCTCCCCATTTCAGAAGGGAGTAGTCATGTGTGCATGCTTCTTGTGCTCCACGGGGAATGTCCGAAGCTTCTGACAGCAGGATTCTGCCTCTTGCATTCAAGGCATTGTCGTACAATTGGCGACGAAACTCCTCCAGTCGCTTCTTCCTCACCGGCAGGGGTACATCTTCTGTGTTTGGCCCTGCACTACTGGACGCAGCCAGAGATGGTGTACTGGACGCAGCCAGAGATGGCGTTCTGGGCGCAGCCCGCGACTTCGTTGTTGCTCCTCGGACAGGCTCTGCCTGATGATATCCCTGTCTCCTCTGCGCAGGAAACTCCTCTGGGACATGCCGTGCGGCGTCTTCCTCCTCCTCATTAATCAGCTGCTTCAATAGTGTCTTCTTCTCGGCCTTGGTGAGGTTCGGCAGGATAGCCAAGATCTCTTCAGGGTCCACAGCCATCTCAGCATCCTCTTTCTTGGCCTTCTGCTTTCGACGTGCTCGCCTGAGCTTCTTCTTTTCTTCTTCATCCTCAACAGCTTGCTCCAAGGCCGTGAGGACGGCTCGAAGCTTCATCTTGGTCTTCTTGCTTTTTGGCGGCCGTCCAGCAGAAGCCGGTGCTGCTACCAGCGCTGGGGCCAACTCCTCAGAACTGCTCGAGGATCCCGATTCCTCACTCTCGTACTCTTCCAGCAGATCCCAGCCGCCAGTGCCAACCATGAAGGTCCAGTTGACCCTAGACACATTTACTCGGCCATGGTCATCTCCTCGCTTTGGAGATTCTGTTTCCTCCTTGGTCGTAAAGAGGGTTCCAGCCTCTTCCTTGACCGATGAGCTCCCTTTTGAGGATGCTCCTGTCGATCTCGCTGGCACCTCTCCGCTCTGGGTCTTGCTGCAAATGGCGTCACCACGCCAATGGCCATACTTGCCGCACGCTGCGCATTTCGAAGACTTCTTCCGATCCTCAACTTTCCTGAAGTCTGGGGGCCTCTCTTTGCCCTTCTTGTTCTTGCCTTGGCCCTTGTAGCCACGCCCCTTTCTCATCTCGGAGCTCTGCTGTTTGGCCCTCCATCCAGCCGCATAAGCATCCTTGAGCTCATGCACAGTCCACTCTTCTTCTTCTTCCTGCTCTGTTTCATCGTCATCCCACTGCTCTCCGCGGGCATCGGCTGGATAAGCTTCTTGCTCCAGGTCTTCATTGTCGAGGTCTTCATCATCTTCCTCTTCTTCGAAGGACTCTTCCTCCTCCTTTGTCTCTCCTTCGCCAGCTTCGGCCACATGGGCACCGTGGCGCCTTTTACCATATCCTCCATGGCCTCGGCTCTGCCGGTAGGTCTTCTTCGCGGGGCGGTACCTCAGGTCTCCTTGTGCTCCTCGGCTTTGATACTTCTCAGCTTCTTCAACATGCAAGTTTGCATGGCGAAACCGGAGGACCTTCTCAATCCTATCGGATCGGTATTTGCCCCCCGAGGCAAAGAATACCTCCATGCGCTCGCGCTTCGACAACGCTGCTCTCGCCAGCATTCTCTGGGCGAAGCTTTTGTCGCTGATTTTTGTCTCTGTATCTTCTCTCAAGTACTCATCTTTGAGTCTCTTGAGCTTTGAGAGGTAAGCCGCTATGGACACACCGTGTGCCCGACGGTAGGTTTGGAACTCCTCCTGCTTCTGTTCAAACCTTTCATCTGCTCGTTTCTCATATGCGTCATCCAAAAGTCTCATGATCCTTCCTAAACCGCCAGGTTCTTGGAGATCCTCAATCTCCAATTGGTTGACGATGTCCCTTGCTTCTCCTGCGGTGTTGAGGTACACCAGAACTGCTAATTCCTCCTCCGTCAGCTTGTACAAGGCCTGCTGAGCCTTGAGGGTCTTCTTCCAATCCTTGTAGGCTGTGCGATTGCCTCTGAACTGGTCAAGCTTGACCGAAGTGAGGTTTGGCCTTCCTCGATCGGCAGCCTGTCTCTTCATACTCTTCTGCAGGAGTTGTCGGACCTCGTCTGTATTGGCGCTGCCATCAGAGGACGCTGCCGCACTTCCTCGGACGCTGCCGGGAACACTACCACGGACGCTGCCGGGTGCACTGCCGCTAGGCGTCAGCTTTGACTTCGCTGCAGTTCGGGCTTTGGTCTTTGGTGGACTGCCCTGCTCGCGCTTCACGGCACTCTCATCCACCGAGGCCGCCCTTGAGCTGAGCTGCGATGACCTCAGCGTAGGGTCATTGGTGGCTGTCTCCTCCTCAGGGTTATTCTCCTCAGCCTCAGAGTAACTCTCATACGTGTACTCATACTCATAGTCGTCATCTCCTCCGTCATCGGGCGGTTCAGCCTTGGTCTTGGCCAGTGGCTGCGGGAGCTTCTTCTTCGGCCTTGCTTTCGCCGGCCCTTCCTTCGGCTTACCCTTCTGCTCCCCTTTTGACTTGCCCTTCACTTCACCTTTGTTCGCAGGAGGCAATGTCCATGAGCCAGTTGAGGCTACAGATGCCATCATATCCTGCACATTCCACCATCCTGGGTTGGACGTCATAGATCCCGGCATCATCTGGGGATTCATCATTGGCAGTAGATTGGGCACCTGCGTGGGCATCATCATCTGCTGCGCTGCCGGCATCATTGGGAACGCTTGTGGTCCTTGTCCCATCACGGGCATCATTTGCGGCATCGGCAGCATCCCTTGCGGGAGTAGATTCTGTGGCATCGTTGGCATCCCCGGCACTGGGCCTCGAAGTGGGACTTGTTGCTGTTGATGCGCCATCCCTTGTTGTCCAAAGCCCTGAGGTGGTAGTCCAGCTTGTAGGCCTTGAAGTGGAGCTCCAGTAGGTAGTCCGAAGCCAGGTGTCACGAACTGCGGCTGGGTCGGACTCCCAGCTTGATCTCCGGCGCAGCCGGTTGCTCCCATGCCGGCTCTGCCAGCTGCGGCTCCGCCGCCATCAACCGGCTCAGCCGCAGGGTCGTCCCAACTCGGCACAGGGACATGTTGACCCGCCATGGCCCCGTACGTGGGGCTCCGCTACCAATGCGGAGTGACGCAAAGGTAGCAACCAGAAAAGGTTCTAATTGGGCTCAAATCAGGTCGCTGCCCAGGCGCAGCCTTTTTGCTAGATTCGAACTGTGCACAGCTGCGATGTGCAAGGAAAGTGAGACATGCCAAGTGCCAAAAACATGCACCAAACTGCCACACTCACAATTGCAAGTTAACAACTTTGTAAATGGGATTCACCTCCAAAGTACTTTTACCAAAAGGACTTCCAGCTCAAAACTGGATGCTACAGTAGAGCCTCGAGGGCCCCCACGAAGACTGCGTCAGCTGTTTCACCACTTAAGCGACAGGGAGATCGTATGCGACCCATGGAAATTTGAGCGACCATGGCAGATGATGACAGGACCTGGTGCGTTCTTTAAGAAGGCATCGCCTTGGAAATACACTTCGCTATGTTAGTTTACTTGGCAAAAGTGGAGGCAAAAAATCGCCTGAAATATGATGCAATCATATGCAATATAATATATAATCACTAACCATCATCAGCCATTCTCAAGCACCATTCACCACTGACACTGAAGCTCAACATTCCAAAAAGCCTGCACCATCCCATGGTTTCAGGCTTGTTCAAAATCAGCAGGTTATAGACCTAATCTTTGTTGGTGATGTTATGTTACGTTTTCATTTTTACATAGTTTGATGGCTACATACCCAATGCATTATCTTAAAAGAATGCAAAGAACATGATATTTACGTAAGATTTTCATTGATGGGATCACTACCTACCATTCCCATTTTGTAATCCTAATCATTTAAAGGTCAAAAAAATATTACATAAGAACCTTTTGTTAGGATCACTGTGGGCAACCCAATAATACAACCTACCATTATACCATCTGGGGATGGTTTACGCAATCCGTTTATGGTGATTTTGGGGATGGTTCACGATCGGGTTTACCGCATTATAAACAATGATATATTTATTACATATGTGGTTCCATTATGTTCCATTAACGTTAAGCTTCATTAGATCGGAACATATGGTTATCTAGGTTCCACTATATCCCAGTACATCCCATTATTCAGATTCTGACTTCCCATGTTGATCTGTTTGAAGCGAAGAAGCAGCGTGACGTCGTCGCCTCCCTGCAGCGTTCTCTCCGTTCTTTTCACCCCTGCACGATGACTTCGGAGCCAACGGTCGTTATCCATGGGTAGATGAGAAAACGCGATGTATACTAGTTCCAAATTAATAAAAGGGTCATCTCCCCATTAAGCAAGGAATAGTGTTTGATGATCAATGAGAAAATAAAGGAGACTTAGAAGAGCAAAACTAGCAAAAAGCAACAAGACAGCAAGAACAAGAACAAGAAGAACAAGTGCGCTGAAAGAACCAAGGAAATATTTGACTTTGATATTCTTGTGGTCAGCATATGCCAGAATTCTGCACTTCGATGACTTCGATCTTCAGCGGCAAAATGTGCGCCAATCTCACCGCTGTCATTTCCAGAATGGCTGGTAAAATCGGAGGTTTCCCATGCTTTGTGTTGTACCCTCCGGTAAACTAACACAACTATGGAAAATCACCATCTTTTAATGGGTAATTCAGCTATAAATGGCCATTTTCAATAGCAAACTGTTGGTTTGCCAGAGGGTAATCCCAGTGTTTCCTAGACGGATGCCATACCTTGCATGAAAATACCACCCGATGTTGGAGCCGATGGAGACGTTTCACCTACACTGCATGGACGAAAAGACCAGCGTTTCAAGGGACGAACATTGGCAATCCAGCATTGAAAACGGGAATTTAAGCAGTTATCAAAAAACCACATAACATGAATTAAAATGCGGGGATGATATATACATACATACATACATATATATATATATAAATATTTGTTCCATAAGTTCCATATTTTTTATCTGCTTAAACATGTCTGAAATATTCGTGCCGCAGCTTCTGAAGCTCCAGGGGCTTTTTTCATCCATGACGTCCAAAGCCATGGCCTCGACGGATGCTGCGGGATATCGGGAAGTGGTCAGAAGTCAGGACCAGCAGCAGATGGCGACTTGGAAAATCATGAAAGTCCGCAGAGATGGGCGACTGGGATGGGAGAACTCGGCTGGTCCCCGAAACGCCGAGGTTAAAAAAAACGCTTTTTGAAATGGAAAATCATAGGACGATCATGGGAAAATATGGGGATATTCCCGAAGATGGATGTTTTAGTGGGAAACACATCTATAAATGGTGGATTTTCCACTGCCACATTTGATTACTGGATTGTGGTTTGTGCATTGTTTTTTTTGTGTCTTCTTTTTGTGTGGTTTTATTTTGTATACTTGAGCCCTTCGGGCCTTCGGGGCTACTTTGATATGTCTATATTCTCAAAACAAATCGTAAGTAATGTCAATACCTTTGTACGTACGTGCGCAGGTAATAGTACACACATGTGTATATATATATAGGCTCCAATTCAATCCCCAAAATATAACCTCCAATAAGGAACCCCAATTTTCATAAAGAGATCCAGTAGTGAAACAAGGATTTCAGTTGGTTGCGGGGCCTTCAACATCAAAAAGGTGTAAGCAGTCCATATCGGTCCATCATGAGTAATCTCCATGAATCCCGAGATCGGTCCATCACATTTTGCAACCATTTGCCAATCCATTACGGCTATTATGCGTTAAATTTAAGCTGAACGTGATTCAAAGGGAATCCAAAAGGAACCTGCTTGCAGGGAAGATGTGATAAAATTCTATTTATTTCTTGGGTCCATCTTTAAGAAACATCCCATGGATGATTTTTTTAACATGAATTTCTATTTAATTACTGTGAATAATGACTCCATCCTACTAGGTGGGGCCCAGTTGTAAGTTAGCTTATAAACCCGATGAATGCAATAGTTATATGTCCCATGAACCCAAACGTGAACCAAGTGATGTGTGTCAACTTAGTTATTATCATGAATCAGCTATAAATCCCATGAAATCCCACAGCTTTGTTGGTTCAGTTGCCATTTTCCTATGGTTTTCCTATGGATTTCCTATTGGGGCCTCACTGTTCGCGCCGTGGCCACAGGTGGCTTTTCTGCAGCGAATGATTCAGCTGCATCACCTCCCAGAGGCTTCCAAACGTTGATGGTACCATCGCGGTGGTTTACGGGAAATTTTTAACCGGACCCCCCACACATTTCAGGGTTAAAACCAGGATTTTCTTATAGATTTTCCCAACCGACCATGGTTTTCGGCATAGATTTTCCCTTAAACCAATCCAATGATAGATGTGAAGTTGACTCAGCAGTTGTAGACGATTAAAACCGAATGGGAGACCATGGCTTTTCCACATCTATGTTAGGTACAACAAAGGGTAAACAAGCAGAAAGAAACCCATAAAAACCGAAAAACACTTGGGTGAAATATTGACATAGATGGTCAATAAGCCCTGATAAGAGTGGTTGTTGATGCTGAATCAGCCGTGAATAAAGCACCTGAATTTGCTGGCACATTTTTCTGGGGGTCACCAGAAATGGGGGTTGGCTGACGCTGAAATCGACTGAACGGGTAGTTTCTTATACTTCGACTGGATGAACATCCCCATTGAAAAGAAATAAATATGTGGAATGTGGCCAGTTTATAGTTTTTTCGGAGAATACTCCGAGAAAAATCCGGCACTGTTCGATCTTTTTTGATGGTGACTTGACAGAACCTCTTGCCCGGTGCACGTTGGAATCCGCATGATCCCGTTTGGGCTTGGGCGGAGCCACCGTTGAAGCCAGTGACAACCCATACTGTAAATACATTTTTTTTTTTTGGGGGGGGTGGTATTTATAGTTATATGCACATGCATACATACATACACACAGATATATATATATATATATATATTATATATGCACATATTATATATATAATTATACTATAACTAATTCTGGAGCTTGTTCCATGGACTTGCTCCCATGGTGATCAACCAAAAGAATCGGGCCCCATCCAAGTCGTGCAGGTGGCCCAGCCGCAGACTCTGCAGACTCTGGCACGGCAGCATTTGAAAGGGCTCAGCAGCTTCGAGGAGCGAAGAACGTTGGAGATTTGGTGAAATCCACATGAAAAATGGAGGTTTTTCATGAGAAAATCATGGGAAAATCCTCGAGAAGTGAGGGTAGATCAGAACCTTTTGCTTTGTTCCATAAACTTGTAGGTGATGAACATCCAGCTATAGCAGCTATTGAGACCTGTGAACAGAAGGGTACCAGGGTTTCAGCAGGCTTCCCTGGGGCTCTGGGAATCACCTCCATCAGTTGGGAGATAAGCCGCCAAGTTCACTACTCATTGCTATGTATCCACTGAAAACTGGAATTACACCCAAAAAAGTGGGGGATAGGATTTCGGCCAACAATATGCCAACAAAAAAACCTGATTCCAATTCCAATGGCCGTCCGAAAGCTTCGACCAGCTGAACTCCAAACCTAGGCATGGGTCAAAACTTAGGGCACGCCAACAAAAAATGAAGAAACCATGTTGTTTTTCGGTCTGTGACTCCTAAAAAGACAGACAATGTGACAAGCACAATCATATTAAAATATGGTTGGTGAAGCAATTTTCCTATCTTTTTAGAGGTTACGATAGGTCGACAGGGCTGGAACTTTTGTGGCGACTGCAGGAACTCTTGCATGAGCTGCGGGCCTTGGCCTCTCGGTCTCGGTGGCGTATGGCGAGTGCATCCCAAAGACATAACTAGGGACATCTGGGGACATGATCATCTAAGATTATGGTGGGAGGATGCATGCGAAATATCATGAAATATAGCTATCTATATATATATCTATAGGTCTATAGGTCTATAGGTCTATAATTCTATGGGATCGTTTTGGAAAAAAACCATGAGTTAGAAGGATTTGCCATGAAGAAAAAACATTGTAACATGGATCAATAATGATTAATGGATATTAATGATCAATACCCTCTGGTAAACTAACATAGCTATTGAAAATTGCCATTTATAGCTGATTTACCCATTAAAAATGGTGATTTTCAATAACCACCTTTTCTCGGGATTGATTGCCATCAGTTGGACCACGGCCCCTTTAGGCTTCCCAAGAGCCCAGCAGCTCCAGTCACGCCCCTAGACCTGATGCAGCACAGGCCTGGGGGCTGGTTGTGTCGTCAGTTTCATAGGGAAAATGTAGGAACTTGGTGGGAAAAGGTAGGACAATGGTTGGAAAATCTCACAAAACAGTGGTTTTTGAGTGGTTAAAAAAACCAGAATTTTCAGAGTGGTGGTAAAAATGATATTTTTGTTTACAGCAATTCTTGGCTGAAAAAATCACCCATGTAATCAATGTAATCTTCGATGATTAAATCCCACTGGTTGCCGGTGTTTTTTCGTGGGATTTCTTTGCTCAGCTGGTTCCAACCGGGCTTGCCATGGTTGGTTAATATGGAGGGTATGACAACGAACATTCCATTCATATCCCATTGGTATTCCACATTCCTATCCCGTAACAAAGCACCCCATTGTGCCATCATGTTTGTTGGTTAAATTCTATTTTTTTTTACAATTTGTCATTGTTAAATCAGCAGCCGCAGCCAGGCTCTGAAATATTATATATATATAATATCCCAATGATATCCCAACGTTGTTAAATAGATAATAACAGCTAGATAGTACTATAACCCATCCCAATATAGATAGAGAATACTATCTAGAATTTTCACAAAATATCCCCATTCTACTACCATTTTTGTTGGGTACCCTCCTGTAAACTGTTCCACACATGGAGTTTAGCCACCAGAAATGTCGATCCTTTCCGAACGGAAGAGGTTTTCCAAGTTAGGCGCGTACCCACAGTCTACCCCCAAATAGCTATTATAATAGGGAAAAGGAGGTTTTGATCCAATGGGTTTAGGGGTATAACATCCATTCGCCATGTTAGGTCCAGGGTACCAGGCTTTTGATCCATCCTCAAGGCTCTCAGGGGCGCAGCCGGTGCCTCGACACTGAGCCAAGAGGCATTGATCGATGGGCAAAATTTCGTGGCGCAGGTACGCGACGGGGAACTGCAAGCGCTTCGTAGGGAAACGCAGTCTGAATATCATGAGGATCTTATGGGATATAAATATATAAATATATATATATGCATATGTATATATAGCCAATGGCAATATATAAGAAAGCGATTTACTAGAGGTACCTAGCAGAAGGTCTATTTTTTAGGGCTATGTAAGGGGATACGCCTCCAATTTCTATGACTTTATGTGGTACAGTACCTCCATTTTGGTACCTGAAATGGCCACTGATATAGCCAGAACAAATGCAATGTGTGTATATAGATATATATATATATATAGATAGATATGTAGATATGTAGATAGAAAGATAGATTAGATTAGATTAGATTGGATTGGATTGGATTAGATTAGATAGATTAGATTAGATAGATTAGATAGATTGGATGATTAGATCGATAGATTAGATAGATTAGATTAGATAGATTGGATTAGATAGATAGATAGATAGATAGATAGGTAGATAGACAGACAGACAGATAGATAGATAGATAGATAGATAGATCCATAGATAGATAGATCGATCGATAGATAGATAGATAGATAGATTAGACAGATTAGATAGATGAGATAGATGAGATAGATTAGATAGATTGGATAGATTGGATAGATAGGATAGATTGGATAGATGGGATAGATGGGATAGATTGGATAGATTGGATAGATTGGATAGATTGGATAGATTGGATAGATGGATAGATGGATAGATGGATAGATGGATAGATGGATAGATGGAGAGATGGATAGATAGATCGATAGATAGATAGAATCAGATAGAATAGATAGATTAGATAGATTAGATAGATTAGATAGATTAGATAGATTAGATTAGATTAGATTAGATTAGATAGATTAGATAGATTAGATAGATAGATTAGATAGATTAGATTAGATTAGATAGATTAGATAGATTAGATAGATTAGATAGAATATTAGATTAGATAGATTAGATTAGTTGGATTAGATTAGATAGATAGATTAGATAGATTAGATAGATTAGATAGATTAGATAGATTAGATAGATTAGATAGATTAGATAGATTAGATAAATAGATAGATAGATAGATAGAGAGATAGAGAGATAGAGAGATAGACAGACAGACAGATAGATAGATCGATAGATAGATAGATAGATCGATAGAAAGATAGATTAGATAGATTAGATAGATTAGATAGATGAGATAGATGAGATAGATTAGATAGATTGGATAGATTGGATAGATTGGATAGATGGGATAGATGGGATAGATTGGATAGATTGGATAGATTGGATAGATTGGATAGATTGGATAGATGGATAGATGGATAGATGGATAGATGGATAGATGGAGAGATGGATAGATAGATCGATAGATAGATAGAATCAGATAGAATAGATAGATTAGATAGATTAGATAGATTAGATAGATTAGATAGATTAGATTAGATTAGATTAGATAGATTAGATAGATTAGATAGATAGATTAGATAGATTAGATAGATTAGATAGATTAGATAGATTAGATAGATTAGATTAGTTAGATTAGATTAGATAGATAGATTAGATAGATTAGATAGATTAGATAGATTAGATGGATGGATGGATGGATGGATGGATGGATGGATGGATGGATGGATGGATAGATAGATAGATAGATTAGATAGATTAGATAGATAGATTAGATAGATTAGACTAGATGGATTAGATAGATTAGATAGATTAGATAGATTAGATAGATGAGATATATTAGTTAGATAGTTAGTTAGTTAGATAGATAGATAGATAGATTAGATCGAATGATCGATAGATCGATAGATCAATAGATCGATAGATTGATCGATCGATAGATAGATTAGATCGATAGATAGATTAGATCTATAGATCGATAGATTGATAGATCGATAGATCTATAGATCGATAGATCGATAGATAGATAGATAGATAGACTTATATGTATATATATATATATTATATAGATATATTCTGATTGAACGTAGATATTGAGGTGACTGTTAAGTTTGTGGTGTCAAAGTGCGCTTGTTCTAGGATGTTGACATCTTGAACAAAATGGAGAAATAATGCAAAAAACATGGGATTGAAACATGCAACTCTGAAAGGCAAATGGACAAAAACTGCAAAAACTATGCAAATCAGACCAGAGACCAACTGGACAAACATGATCTTGGAAAAAAATTGCAAAACCTAGGCAAAAAGCAAACAAATGCAAACAAAAAGCGAAAAAAATGCAAACAAAATGCAAAAAAAATGCAAATCAGACCCGGGACCAACTGGACAAACATGATTTCGGAAGCAAAATGCAAAAACCTAGGTAAAATGCAAGAAAAATGCGAAAAAATGCAAACTGCGCTTTTCCACCTGCATTTTTCTTGCATTTTTGATTTGCATTTTTTTTGCATTACATGGTGTTTTTTTTCAAGATTGCAGTTTTCTAGAATACGCCCACAAGGCGCCAACACAATGTTAAGTATATTATCTCACTTGGGGTGCAAATAAGTAAGCAAACACACATATATATGTATATGTATAGCAACCCCAAAAGAATAGAACAAGTAAATCTGAAAATTTGGTGATTATTTATGTGTCCATCTTGGGGATGTCTAACTTTGTGTAATAGGGGATTCACACATACTTAGCACCATACATTGGGGGGGTTCAATGGGGGTGTCTAATATTATGGACATGGAATTATATCGACCGTCACTACACTCACTCACCATTTTCGAGCAAACATGCCAGTGACATATGTGCCATGTTTAAAAGTCCATTTTTTTTCATCTTGGGGGATGGCCATCAATTCATTTGTAGGGATCTATGTGTTATGGGATGGATGATCATATCTTATATACTTGCCATAGTAGCCATGTTTTGACCATGGCACATCTCTGATGTGGTAAATGGAATATGGGTTAGTGGTGTGCATGTTACATCCATACATTGGGATGATGATCCCCAATAACATTGGCATATTTTTGGTTGGGTGGTTCAAACCACCAACCGGATAATATACAATATAGCAAACCCCACTTAAACATGGAAAAGATGGAAACGTAGAATCCTAGTAAAATCGTGATGAATATTGATGAATTACTTTTCTATCTTTTTCTGGTGTTACTATATAATAGTTCGCTGCCAACTACAAGTTAAGGGGCTTCAATCCCATCGGGGATCACAGGCGGTGGAGGGCTCGGGCGTGTTGGCTCTGGTGTCACCACCCTGGTCCCTGCGCTACGTCCCCTGGCGAACACCAGGGACCAACCATGGCGCCTCCTTGGGGATGGCCAGGGGTGACTTTCATGGCTATAACCAGGGGATTTTAACCTTTCATAAGCTGGGATATGTTGGGACCGAACTATGGTGAAATAACCATGTTCCACGGGAAATCTTCATCACGCCCGAATTTTTTGGGGCTTGTCAGGTCATGTGAGTTTTCAGGTAATTACTGAAAATGGGTTGCAAGGTTCCATACCCTGAGAAACTCGCTTCGAACCACCCTTCATTGCGACCCGGTTCCTAAGTGGGATGTAGCTGGTATGGAAATCCAACTTCCGTAGATTGATTTGCCATTTAGAATTGTCAAGTCACCATTTTTACATGTTAAATATCCTCATATCTTGTTGCTTAAATCCTTCTCTATTGTGTTGGTCAAATACAATTGGGATAGTATAATAACCCTGGGCATTTCATTTTAGCTTGGCTTGTACCTTAACACTGCCAACGCATTGCCAGCCCAGAAAATGATAAGAGTAAAAAAAACGATAACAAGCTTATACATGTGCATGTTCATGAAGCCTGAAGATGGCAACCTGCACAGGCCTCCAAACGATAGCTAAATGATAACAAAATCGATAACGACATATGAAACAACGCGAGCGTCTGGGCGGATACCCACCTGACCGGTTTGAGCATATCAGTTTTCGAAGACCTGTATCTTTGATAACTAGCGACGGAACAGACGGAACATGAAAGGACATGAAAGCAAAATGACAGGAAATGAATGCAAAATAAAAGGAAACATGAAAGGAAATGAATGCAAAATGAAAGACGATGAAAGGAAATGAAAACAAAAAATGACATCTGTTGACTCTCAACCAAGGATGCTTTCACACCCACAGAAAGCTGGACAAAATCACACTTCTTGTCTACAGGGAGCTCACCACCTGAGAAAACGATAAGAGAAACACCCGATAACGTGTTTTTGGGTCATTTTAAGAGATACCGGGTTTTTATACAACCATTAATTGTTTTTGTTGGCTAGATCCCTTAATTCTTTCTACTACATCTGGGTAAATTATAACGACCTCACTGCGACCTCACTGGGAATAATGGTTAGTAAGGGAAATCATCCCCAAATGGCCTTAATTCAGGTTAGTGAATTATTATAATTTACCCAGACTACATCCCAATATGCCAAAAAAATAGCGGTGCTGACCGAGGTCTTTGGTCCTCGAAACTTCCAACTGGTCATCCGAAACGTGGCGGATCCCACACGGGGGCTGGTGCTCGGGTCGAGTGGCCAGGCAGCACGACTGGCAGGTCAAAAAAGTCAGAGATGTTCGGGAAAAAGTAGGATTTTGCCGTGATAAAGTAAAGATTTCCATGTTTTTTTTAATCATGGGAATAGATCGATCGGTAGATAGATAGATGGATGGATGGATGGATAGATAGATAGATGGATAATATATATATATATAATTATATATATATATTTATAGAGAGAGATATTTCTCAACAAATACATAGAGAGAGAGAGAGGGAGAGAGAGAGAGAGAGAGATATCTATATATATATATATTATAATTATATATAGTAACCCCTTGTTAAGCTAGAACAGTAATTGACCACGATTTTGCTGAGTAGGAATTCACTTTTCTGTCATTTTCTATCTGAATTTAGGGGTTCCCTTTAAATGTTGTTTATCTTGGCTGGAAATCTTTAAGTCGAGGCCAAGCCGATGGTGTCCGAGTTGGTGTGAGCCACTGCGTAGTTATACTACTGACACGGTATCCGCGGAATCCGCATCAAGATGTTCAAAGCATATCTCAGAACAGAACTCATAAATACTCATAAAACATAACATGGCTATCTATATGTATTATCACCATGTTGTTGTTGTTGTTGTTGTTGTTTTTTTTTGGGGGGGCCAGTCGAAGAACCACATCTTAAAGGTGTCTTTCCGTTGAGGTCCCAATGAGCAGATGCTCCGTTCGATGGCTGAGAAGCTGATCTCCGAGTTGGGCACTCAAGTGGCCCTGCTGGGCCAGGCGGAGGCCTATCAGGCAGCGACTGAAAAAGTTGGAACCATGGAACCATTCATTACAGCAAGGTCTGTTGGTGGTTGCTGTTGTTGTTGTTGTTGCTGCTGTTGTTGTTGTGGTGGTGGTTGTGGTTGTTTTTTGTTTTTATTCTTGTTCACCGGAAAAAAAACCTGTCTTTGCCAGGAAAACCGTGTAGACCCCCCTAGGTGACGCTATTCCCAAACCTTCCCAAAGTGTCATCTGGCTGGGAAACTCAATTCGTAGCACCAACTGGCTCCCCATGAACAATAATTATTAAATAACTGCTCCCTTTTAACCACAGGATCGGGGTACTATCCCTCAGAAAAATCTGAATGTATGGCTATAATCCATCGACATATCCACTATAAATGAAACACAGATGAAAAATATAAGTCACATTAAGGCATAAAATAAACATATATAAATAACATTAAACACAAGCCCACATGTTTTTAAATAGCAATAGAGGTGTCATATACCGTTTGCCCAAACTTTTCACCCGAAAAAACGTCGAACTCCGAGCCCGGCAGACGCTGCACGGCCACCCCGCGCTGCTGGCGCGGCTGTCTTCGGCGCCCTTGGAGGTGGCAGCGGAGCTGCAGATCCCCACTGCGCCACCGGAGGAGGAAGCCTTCGCCATCACTGATGGACGGTTTGGTGACCGTTAAAACATGGAGGTTTCAGCAATTTATAAGTGGTTAATAGATGTTAATAGTGGGTAAACCCAATGGTTTTTTTTGTGGTTGGAAGACTTTCTTCCTTTTTTGAAATGGGGTATTCAATAAGGGTCGAAATTAGTTGGGGGCATGGACAGCTTCACATATAGACTTGTAGAGTAAACGGATGTAAATATAGCTATAAACTATAACTAATTATCAAACATCTGGACAAAAGAGGGTGTTGACCAAAAGACGATTGGGAGAGAAAAGAACAAACCATAACCCATTTTTTCCCACCGTGGAAGATTGCTTTATCAGGCTTTGCAAAGCAGTAAGGAGTGGTAGATGATTTTCATGGGGCGATTTCAACGTCAGGAAGTGCGCCCGGACGAAGAACATGGTGACTGTCCCATTTGCACCCCGGTGGCGAAAGCGCCTTGAAATGGCTTGGGGAGGTGAAATTCAGCACGTTTTGAGATGTTTTGGGATCCTTTTTATACACCAATGAGCTTTGAAGTAATGCTTCAACTTTTAACAAAGGAGCTAACTAAGTTCAAGACGTTCGCATCAAGTGAGGCCTTGAAGCCATGGGCTCTGGAGAGGCGGCGATGCGCTGTGCTGGGGATGGGGGGCAGCACCACTACTTTCACGCCAGGCCGGGTGGGGGCAAGACTTGGTAAGAACAATGAAGGTTTACTTATTAGTGGTTGGTTGAACCCCAACAAAATCCTTCAGCCTTCCTAAGGTCCTAAACCCTGTAATTACAACCCTTGTTACTTGTATCCCCATGTTTCTTTTCTGGCTTCACGCACAGGTGTCTGTCCACCTGGGTTCGCCGCCGTGAAGGGGGTGCTTCAAGCGCCACCTGCCCAATGTGCCGGGGACAGCTGCAGATGAACGGCCAGAGATTGCAGGAGCAAAACTGGGTCAGCCCCTGGGGAAAAAACGTGGTGGATGCAGGGGATCTACATATATACCATTTATCTATTTATTTATTTATATATATATATATATATTATTTATATGGAACCACTAAAATATGGTGTGTGTAATATTGTGAACCGGGGCTGGGATGAAAAAAAGTCATCATGAATTCATGAATTCTTCACCCCCCAAAATGGACGATCAGTAACGGCAGGGTGAGAACTTTGTGTAAAAAAAAGGGGTTGTAAATTGGTCATGACATGGTAAAAACATGTAAACATATGTTGTTGTCGTTTTTTTTTTTTTTTTTAAGTGGTTTTGTTGTGTTTCAAAAAGATGGCAATGTTGTGGCCAATTTATCCAACTTTTCAAGCAGGAGTGTTGTTCTTCCCTTCAGCCCAGGTGGGCAACCTTGTTGGCACATTCCATGCGCTGCCAACCGAAGTAGACCATTGACTGCAGGGATTTTAGAAGCTCCAATTTCTACTTATATAGCGAATTTCAATCATGGTTACTGGTTGATAATGGTTGATATATGCCTGCCAGTCTTGATGCTTAAGTTACAGTTTCTATCCCCATGAAATCCCATGAACTTTGCTGCAACAAAAAGCTTCACCGAGATTCGGCCAACGAAGCGATTCCCAGGAATTCTTGGATGGAGAGCAATCAGCGCAGCTGTCACAGGTTCATTCCAGGGGCCCGTTCCCTTCGGGGATGGGTCGAATAGGTGTCATGAATTCCATGGCAGGGAATTCCCCCGAACAAAAGGGCGATCGTTAAACATTGTTTGAGTACCAGAAGGTACAGCCCGAACGAAATCCCTAAAATGAATTCACCACATGCTGAACTTTTGGGGGTGTGATATCAACATAGATCGTGGTGAAAGCAACGTATGGCTAATACATGAACTGAGTAGCATGACCAAGTAAGTATAGCTAGATTAGTTAGTAAGTCCGAAATTCTTTGAACAAGTGTGGATGCATAGTATAGCCAGGGTGCACTAGTCAGCATTCAATCACGCTTAAAAACTCAGGTTTTCAGGCTGGCGGGTTATGTTCAGATGCAGACGAAGGCTCTCTTCAAAGCCCGTTATTTCATGGTTTTGCAAAGTGATCTCTGATTGCAAAGGGGGCTGCCATCGTATATCTTCCTGTTTTCAAAATCCCCTTTTCCAGCAGCAACATGATTCGTAAATCGGCGTGCGCGGAGCTGTTTCGCAAGGTTACAGTACCTTACCCTTCCTTTGTGACATGGGGTGCCCTCATGTGAGCCAGGATGACCGAACCTACTTGCAATCGATTTCAGACCCCTTGCTGCAGAAAACATGTTGGAGATCGCCTCTCAAATCGAACGATGATACCCAATCGACTTTCATTTCTTTGGGGATCTTTGGGGTGAGATAAAGATAGCCACCGCCTTATAAGACTCTTTCTACAAATTTCAAGAGAGATATCTTCAACAAAACCAGCGGGCAAAATTGGGTCTTCGATAGCAGGTGAATTCTCACGTGCCCCATTTACTAGCCACTTACAAACTTCACAATTCTTGAGATGGGACATCCAGGTTTTTGCATGTCCTTTTTTAACTCGATGAATTATGTTGAATTGATTAATGATCAATGGAGAGGTGCCCCCTGAACCAATAATATTCAATAGACATATGACATACTGTATGTCTGTTGGATCTCAAACCGGCTCAGGGCGTCATTGTTGTTGGGTTTTTCAGACGGTGACACGACGACTTGAGGATGGATTGTGCGGCCGAAACAGCTGGAGCACCATGAATCGAGTTGAGAAGGCCCACATTCATCGAAGGTCAAGCCAGAAAAATTGGAGGTTTTCCCTACCACATATTGCAATTATCCACGGGAAACATGGTAACATGGGGGGTTGCATCACCTGCAAACATGGGGATTTGAATGGATTTGAGAGTTGGCCAATAGGGGCGGAAGGGCGGTTTGAACATATGCACATCTATGCCAGCTACAACTTGATGTTAAAAACAAGGTGCCAATATGACAGAACTTGGTGCCTTCTTTCAAATACTTTTCAAATTTGAGTGTGGAAGGGCCTGCGAGTCATAGATGTTGGCAGTCTTTAGTGCTAAACCAAAACCATCCAAATTATGTTAATCTGTGACCCGTTTGCTACATGAAATGATTATATTTCAAGGTTTCCAGTGTGAAGATATCACCTACGTACTAGTATTGCATATTTATTTATTTATTTGTTTATTTATTTATTTTCTTTATATATATATATTTATTTATGTACTTCAAGAACCAACCATCACGCAAATAAACATGCCAGATGTAGGCTAATGGTATGTTTTTGTTTTCCAGTTATGCACCCACGTCAAATGCCAATCATTTTTCAAGCATACAATCATCATACCCCCTCTTTTGGGTCAGCCTTGGGTTGATACTTCAATACTTTGCACACTTTGCACGGTGGTCATTCTATTAACCCAACCAGCTACCGACATGTTTGCAGGGTATCATCACATCACGAAGATTTGGCCAAATTTCCCGGCCGGAAAGGCAGCTTATGCCGGCGGCCTGCTGGCTGCAGCCAGTTGGGGCTTTGTGCTAGGCGTGGCACCGTGGCACCCGACGACCGGAAGACCCCGAGCTCCTGTCGGTAGAGAAAGCGGTCCCAAGTCGTGTGGTGGGGTTCACTTCACTTATTACTTCTTGATTGGTTAAAAGAGAAACGTGTGAATGTGGTAAACCATGGTAAATCGGTAAATCCAATTTCTTTCAACATCCCATTGCATCATCCCATAGTATAACAATAAACATGTCATAAACCTCAATCAATAGGGGTGACTATGGCATTGGGCTCGCCATAAACGACCAATTTGAATGGGGTTCTCTTCCGTTGAATCCAAAACCGGTTACTTTATATAGTCGCTGCCAGCTGTGGATTGGGTGGCCATGAATCCGGATTTCCATGGCAATCCTTCCCTCCCAACATTCAGTATCATGAAGTACAAGCCCACATCAGTGGGCTGCTTGCTGAAGGATGCTGAAGGTATCTCCTGTCACAGACTTGGCTCAAAAACAAGATGCGGGAAACCTAATGGTGTTTCCGGGTAAAAACGATGGTTTTCTTCAAAGTCATTGAATTTATTGAAGCCCCATATTTTGTGGCCGAAATCATGTTATATAAATCGATATGGCTCGATTTAAACCGCTTAAATCCAACCGAAGTATTGGCTGGTAACATCTGTGATTTTCCATTCTTTCCATTGGGACACCGGGTTTTCCGTCTTCGCGGTTCGCCTGGGAGGCTACACTGAGCGAAGGCATCGGGTGTCGCACGCACTGGTCTTGGATACCCTGCCAGCAGAGTTGCCTGGCAGGTTTGTCTCAGTGAAGACAATGGGAATATCATGGGAGAGATTACGAAAACTGGTTCTTGCCGGGGATATATGTTATAATATATATATATGTGTTTTATTTTATATATAATAATAATGATAATGATAATAATAATAATAATATTAATAATAATAATATATATATATATATATGCTGTGAAATATATATATATATACATATGTATATATATATATATGTGTATTTATATATATATATACATATCATTGAATATATATATATATACATATCATTGAATATATATGAATATATATATATATATACACATCATTGAATATATATATATACATATCATTGAATATATATATATATACATATCATTGAATATATATATATACATATCATTGAATATATAGATATACATATCATTGAATATATATATATACATACATATGTATGTATGCATATGGATTTATGTTTTTTTTTTTAAAAAAAAAATAAAAATAAAAATCTATTTAAAACAAAAAATGGATATTTAGTGGAATAGTCATGGAATATTGGTTAAGATCCTCCTCCAAAAGTAGCATCATTCAAAGACACCTTTTCTATGAATAACACGTGTATATGTATAGAGATACATACTTTTTCAAGTATTTCATGGGACCTCAAAATATATCCTTTGAAAAAAAGGGCATATTATATTCCCCAAAATTTCTGGTGCGTTTTGTCCAAAAGGGCGGTTTCTGCACAGGCACCAACTGGCACAGGGACTGGGATGGCTGGCAGGGATCATCGTGTCCTGCATTCGGAAGCTCGGCGAAGCAGAATCGTTGGGATATATCATGGAAAATAAGATAAGATAGATAAGCCGTTGGAAATAATTTGGATATGAATCTATTTATAGTTGGTTTGTAGATTATTATACTTGTAGTTCGAGTTGGGATATAAATCTAATATAATATATTACAAACCATGGATAAGCCATTTTTCATAATATATTTATATATCATGGGATCGAATGGAATATACTTATAGTTAACGTTATAATGGAATTTATAATTGAAGATCTACGAAACGTAATTGAAGATCATGGAAAATCAATGGGGATATCATCGGATATGTTGAGGATACAGGGGGATATACACATATATAATTATATATATAATATTTGGATGGTGGGGAGAGAGGCTTTGCTGTTAAAAAAAACTGATACCAACCCGGTGACGTTTTAGCTGATGTAGATCGTGGTCATGTTTTGCCTGGAAGTGGTTTCATTTGGGTCTGGAGACGGGGAAAACACCAAGAAATTTTGGGAGAAAATGATGGGTTCACCAGTAGATTTACCCTCTGGTTATGACTAACAGTTTGCCATGGAAGCCATGACCCATAGAAATAGATGGTTTACAATGTTTACCTATTAAAGATGGGTGGATCTTTCCATGGCGAACTGTTAAACTGTTAAATAACCAGTAGATTCAGGGCTGCATTATTTTCAGACAAACCCATGTTAGTCAGGGCAAATCTTGCTTTGGTATCGGAAACGGCTGGGCAAAATGCATCTCCAAAGAGGAGCGTGAGGTCACGGGTGTGGTCACTGCTAAGCCGGGGAAATTAATTTGCACAATTATACCGGTATTAATTTGCACACCGGTAAAACGGAAGAAACTTGTTATACATACATACACACACACACACATATATATATATATACACCTATCTTTTCCTGGGTAGGCAGTAGAAATGACTTTTCTGTATTTTCATTTTTTTTGATTGGTTCCTTAATCTTCATCCCCATGAAGATTGCTGGTTTCAGATTTTTCTGGTTGTCCTTCCGGCCGTGATCGCCATCTGGCAGGCAGAGCCTCCGTGATCGCGAGGACCGCGAGGACCGCGAGTCGCGTGAGCGGAACCGTCGCTGCTAGCCTGAATGGGGCCCTGCTGAGAGTTATCGTTGAGTTGTTAGAATTTATTTGGAGATTATTCTTTGGGAGTGGGCACACATCATAGTTTGATGGTGTTCGATGGAACTGAAGACTTTCGGAGTGTACTCTTTCAGTGCTATTGCCATTTCAAAAAAGCAGGTGCCAGCCTGAGTCTGAGCGAGATACTTTAATGTTACGGTACCTTTGATGTTCAATGGCTGTGTGCCAAATGCACACCGCTGGAAGTTCTGATTTGGGATCCAAGAAAGCAGGAGTAGCCCGTACTTGGATGTGCATCCCAGTTACCCACATTTACTCAGTGCTTTAACAATTGTCAAGAACTTATAAACCTATAACCAATATAGCCCATCTAATCCCATATTATAAGCCATATATAGCATATATATAGCCCATAGCCCAATGTACAACCCATACAACTGGCTTATACTATGGTTCTCGCAGCCAGAACTCGTGTGTTCTGGGATCCCAGCCGCCACACCTTTCGCACAGCGTCGGTCGAGTAGGTGACCTTGGTGGCAAAAAGACTCGATCTGAGGAGTGCACAACGCTGCGAAACCGTTGGCGATGGAAAATCACCACTTTTTGGTAGGTAAACCATCTATTTCTATGGGCCATCTATACCATGGCTATGTTAAATAACCAGAGGGTATATCCATCTATAGATTTATATCCACTTTTAAAAATCAATTAAAGACATGGGCCATGGCTGCCATAGCTAAGTGTTAGTTTACCGGAGGCTAAATGGTGATTGAAATATGAAAATGATCCGTAACTGAACGGATGTTTTTTTCCATCAAGCCTTGTTTGATTTCCAGAGGGTATACGGGGTGGAAATTTCCAGTTTCAAGTTGGTTTATACAATCGTTTATAATCCCAGTTAACCATAGATACAACCTCTATAGACATAAACCCTAGTTATTCGATTTCGAATCAAACTTAGCTAACAACCTGCGATACCAGCCTGTCGCTATTATTTTTGCAACGTGGCTGTGTCTGAACATGGGGGCCAACCAAATGGCAATTTTAGAAAGATTAAAAACATAATGATTAAAACCTAATGTTATTCCTGTTTTCCTTCATTTTTATTGAATTCTCAGGTGCCAAACCTGTTATATACAACCCATAGGATAAGCCAGCAACCTTGCCCGGCCCAGCGCCGTCTGCCGGCGTGAATTTAATCCAGTTCGATTCTAATGTCATACCAGCCCCAATTTAACAGTTTATTTTATTCTACAGATGAAACACTATGAATCTGTACCACAGCCAGGGATCCAGAACCCGGCCTGTACCAGATGTGTTGTGGTTTTCGTCCGAATTCCCATTTTGGTTGGTTTAATCCCCATTCCTATTGGTGTAAGCCTCATATTTAGTGGTGAAATCCCTACAAGGTTTGTAAGTTTATAACCCCATCGAACCATTTGACTGACACTAATTACCATACACACCCATGAAACACCATAGTTAAAACAGTCTAAGTCTACACTACATTTGTGAGCTACCATAATACTGTGAAACCATAGTTGTTCCAAGCATTCTAAGTTTACTTGCTCCTAAACTAACTCTTGAAACTAAGATTAACTTGAGTAACTAACTTTTGAAACTAACTAGGATGAACTGATGAACTAAGTTATAAGCTGACTTTAGTAACTTTAGTAACTAGGTCACTTTTCGATACCTTTAGCAACTAGGCGCCGGACATCAGTTCCATGCGCCATGGAGCTGCGACGTACGCGGCTGTGCCCCTGGAAACCCGTGGGCATCGATGCCCTGGCCTTCAGCCCCAGCGGCACGCTGGCCGTGGGAAGGGAAAATGGCGCCATGGATGCTTGGCGGATGGCGGATGGGATGTTTCAGCTTGGTTGAAGGTGAAGGTGGTCATCGACGTATGTATATATATATATACACATATACATATATTACAAATATACATATATGTACACACGATATACATATCCACACACACATATATATAATTATATATATATACATATATGTGTGTGTGGGTACGTAGCCACACCAACAAGTGACAGCTTTTGCCGAGCTCGGCCAGGAACTCTGGGATTCGAAGACTTGGCACTTACGATGTGCCTTGGCCAAGTTCTGAGCTCGCGAGCTGAGCTTTTTTCAACGGGGGATTTCACCAAGAAAATGATGAAACATGGAGATTTAACCAAGGATATTTATGATGATTTAGGATCTAATATTCATAACTATGGGGATTTAATATGGGAATGATGATGATTTAGATGTTCAAAACCCCTGTTGGTTGATGAGTATCGTCATTGAACGGTGATTTTTACATATTTTCACCATCAAAACCATGGGGGCCCCATGGAAGATCATATAGATGGGAAATCCCATTCTGGAGATGACTTGGGATATGGTACGGAAATGGCAAGATATGGTAAAATTGGAATGGAATACAATAGAAATAGAATGGGACGATATGTGATTGGATTAGCCATGTGATGTCACTCTACATCATTTGAAATTGGGGTATACCATGGTATACATGTATACCCAAGAATCAACCTCGGTTGGGGATGGTGAATGCCGTTGGGTTTACATAATTGGGAAAATATATGAAAAAAATGCATAGTATAACCTCTGATAATTTAAGAGTTTGCTTTGGAAAATGGCCCATGAAAATAGATGATTTATGATGAGTTACCTATTAAACATTCTGATTTACCATAGCTTCGTTAAATTACCGGAGGTAGGACAATAATGGGTTTATTATGGAATACCACGGAAAATATAACCAAACTTATTATGTAGTTGGATGATCCATCGTAAAGTTCATTGGGATAGAATTAATCTTATCAGGGAATTATATAGAACTAAGTATAATCAGAAAGTGGATGGTATATTACCCAGATTCGTCATCAATCCACTAGTATGGATTTAAATATTACACACTCCCATTGTACACATAGGGATTATCATTATGGGACGGATGACCATACACCACATACAATGTTTTGACCATGGTGCCATGGCGCATATGTTAGGGAAGAGACAGCCAAATGAATCTACCACCATTTTCATTCCTATTCCAGACTTTTTCGCGCTTCAAAGCCATATTCCTATAGCAACTCCCGAAAAGTTCCAAAAGGATAGACAAGTAACATCTAATACTAACATAGTGCTGACTGCTAACCTTGCTTTCTCCAGATCTTGGGGGTCCTATAACCTTCAACTCCAGGTTTTTTTTCCGCGGTTCAGTGTCCAGGTTCCTCCCCTGGCAAGAACGGCCGCTCGGTGGTCAGCATCATCTGGGTGCCTGGCAGTGAAACAACGCCCGAGCGGCTCCTGAGCGCGGGACTGCATCGTGAGATCACCGAGTGGGACGTGCAGACTCTGGAACCGATTGAGATCCTGGTCCAACCGCCGTGGAATGGGCGGAACTCACCGGCGCCGATGAAGCGTTACGGATGGGTGGGAAAAGCTACAGGCTACGGGACATCATTTTTGTTCCATCAAAGATGGGGATGTCCTGAAATGTTTCCCTTAAAACAATCCAATGACAGGGCGTTTCCCATAAACCATAGACATAATCATGAGGAATGAAGCATCAAAAGTACGTGTCGACCATGGTGTGACAGCTCCTTTTAAGATTGGCCATGCGGATGCCGAGTAGTGGGCACACCTTTCTGGGGTGGAAGGATCTCCTGTGATTGGCAGGTTTGCACTGGCTTTGTCTGAAATTCGGCTAGCCCCATTTCGTCCGTGAAAATCAATGTTCATATTATCACGATCCCCATCTCAATGGCCATTTTTATATCATGATATATCATGATATATCCCATGTTAGATCAACCATGATAAATCCGGCCGTTCGTTGTCAGTAATGTCTGTCCAACTCTTTGTAGCCTGGTAAGCTGCAAATTCATGGTCCCCGTGGCATCTCCACATTGTCCACTTGGCCTTCCCAGCCATCTAGGGTTGATCACCAGATTCGCCCTAGCTGCTCTTCCTAGGGTCTTGTCATTTTTGGGCCAAAAAAATTGGGAAACGCCAAACGTGAAAAATCCTCAGTATCTCAGAAAGCTGGTGCCTGATGTCTTTAATCAGCACATCGATCCAATTCGATCCCCAACGCTGCGGATCTCTGGAAGCCCTGGAAGCCTTGGACCGGACCATCTGAGGACCGCCACTTCGGGCGGAGGCGCCATCTGGTCCCTGGCGATGTCCAAGGACAACTCGACCCTCTTTTGCGCCTGCGATGATGGCAGCCTTCGTAATTTATCCTTGGAGGGCGGAGTGGGCTCGTTGCTCGATTTGCTCGCAGGGGATGCGCTCGGCATGGGCATGGTAGAGGATCGCCTATGGTGAAGAACGGTAGGCCCAGTAGGCCACACTTAAATTGGGTGATTATATGTGATTATAGAGCAATTCAGGCAATTCATGTGAAGTATTATGGGACCCCTTATTAATGATTCACTACTCAAAAACACATTCAACGCTGTCACTGATTGCATGAGATGGCAGTTGGGGGCAGGATGGCAACATTATATATTCAGAATTTCTTCTAGTTTCAGTTAAGAACAAAAATAATGAACCATATCGAACCATCAAAAATAGGAGATTTGCATAGATTTGCAATCTAGTGACTGTCTTGGAGGCCACAAGAAGATTTCAATGAACATTCCATACGCGGACCAGGCTGGGACCAGGTGGCCCTGACCCGGCCAAGGCTCATGTACAAAGGTTCCATTCAGGTGGAACAGTCGCGCTTGCTGTGCCTTGGAAGTAACAACGGGAGAAGAAAATGCTGGGAGAAATTCGTTGCTTGATATGGTTTGATTTCTTGCCACTGGAGGATTTGATGATCTTATAAGTATAATATCCGGTGAAAGGTGCATGATGCAACCGTGGTGGTCATTACAGCACATAAATCACCCCCTAGTGCTGATCATGCTGGCTAAGCATCCAAGATCAGTCATGTTTTCATGATCTTTCCATTGTTTCAACATTCTTTTCACCATGTTTTCCCCTCAGAAAAAATGGGTCGTTCGACTCGCAACCGACGTTCGCCGAAGCTGGCTGCCCCGATGTAGATAAGGAGCGTGGCCGTGGGCTCGGAGCCGGGCACGGTCTTCGCGGGCGGCTCTGAGAGTCGCATCTCCAAATGGTCGGTGCGGCCCGGGGATGGGTCGTATGAAACTGTCCCTTGGGGTGGAAAAACGATGGAAAAACAATGGAAAAACCACTAAATAAATATGATTGTGTGTCTGGGGGAATTTAGAGTGATTTGTTGGTGATGAAGAAAGAGTGTAGTAATAACGTATAGTTGGAAGTGATTGATGATTTCATAGTGGTTTCAGCATGTTTCTGGTGATTGATAGTGATGTTTAGTTGATTTTCATAGTGATTTATTGTGATTTATGATGATTGTACCATGTTTTTTTTGATTCTATGGTGATTTCTATGGTGATTTGCAGTTTTTTTCACCCATCTCCATTGCTCCAGGTAACCAGCAAGACAAATGAGGGGAACATGATGGTGGAGCGCCCTGGAAATGGGCGTGGGGCCGACTCTCAGCATACCTTGAGCCTTGGTGGATCATGAGATTTCACGTGTGGCCTCCTGGCGAAGGGTAGTTTAGTACCGATCGTTGTTTTCAGTACTTTGGGTATGGCATAAGCTATAATTAACCTATAATAAAAAGCCAAAGAGACATGTAGGAGATCGAAGATTGACTATGATGATCCTCGGATTGTTGGTGTCATTTATTGTCATTTATCATGAATTGAATTTAGTACGTGATGTATTTGTTGGAATATGGAATGATGATGAGGATGTGGGTGAGGAATGAGGAATGAGAAATGAGAAATGAGAAATGAGGATGAGGACGATGAAGATGACAATGAGGACGATGAAGAAGATGAAGATGAAGAAGAGAATAGGGACGATGATGATGACGATGATGGTGGTGGTGGTGATGGTGATGATGGTGATGATGGTGATGATGGTGGTAATGTGTTTGGATACTCCCAATCTAGGAACAATTCACGGACACTATCACCACATAAGTATCTCAGGATTTGGCGCCTGCTCAATTTGGAGGACGAAATGCTGGCCAGTGGGGATAGCATCGGTCTGGTTTACATTTGGGACATCGCCGCTTGGCACTGTGAAGCCTGGGCTTAGTGAAGAGAAGCACATCACTTGGTGATTTTTTTTGGGGTTTCTGGTATATATGTATATATAATTAAATTGTTAATGCCCCAATTTGCTGGTTCAAAAGACATTGAAAGTTCTTAGTGACTTGTAGTTTTGTGATCTGTCAAACACCCCAATGTGGCAAACCTACCCTTTGATAAACCAACATGGCTATATGGAAACACATTTTTTGTAGGTAAATTGAACTAAATGGGTGGTTTTCGATCGCAAACTGTTACACAAGGGTTACATAACACTATGACAACCATTCATCACTACCCTCTGGTAAACTAACATAGCTATTGAACATGGCCATATAGAAATATATATAGAAATAGTGGATTTACCCATCAAACATGGTGGATCTTTCCATAGTTTTTCGTATTTTCCCATGGAGGATGGGCTTGGTCACCTTCCCCCCTGGCCCTTTACCAAACCAAGGTGGCCTGTGTGGTGCTGCAGCGCTTTGCCCAACACCAGGGAGCCTTGGCCGCCTGTACGACCCAGGTCAGATCAGATCCAAGAAATTTGAATCAAATTACCCTCTGGTTATTTAACATAGCCATGGGATATGGCCCATTTATAGATGGTTCACCTATTAAAAATGGTGATTTTCCATGGCTATGTTAAATAACCAGATGGTCGTACTTAAATCTTTGGTATTCAGAATAGGTTACCATCTGGTTCTGACTAACACTTCGCCATGGAAAGATCCACCCATTCTTAAGTTCGGTAAACCATCTATTTCTATGGGCCATGGCTTCCATGGCTATGTTAGTCATAACCAGAGAGTACTAATAGATTGAATCTTCAGATCAGATACCCTCTGGTAATTTAACATAGCTATGGAAAATCACCATTTTTGATGGAAAAATCCACTATTTCTATGGCCATTTTCAATAGCTATTTTGACATAACCAGAGGGTAAATCAAATGAAAGATGGCAATCCAACCAGTGTCGGTATTTCACATGGACCTGGACATACCTGCACCTGGACCAACTGTCATACCATAACGCAACGTGGGTGATGGATTTGGCGAACGAGTTGGTTACTCATCCCCTAAACGTTTACTGGATATATCTGGATATGAAATGTCATAAGTTTTTTTTTTTTTTAGTAGGCTTTTAAACAGATAGACATATGCTATGTCTATATTTCTTCGCCTTTTTTGTGGGAATTTACTTTTTTACGAAAATCTTGGGTGGCTCTGTGAGCCAACAAAAATGACAAACAATAACCACTTAACTCACCGTGTCATATACATAGTGGTTACATATAGTGTTTATGCAGATATATCAACAGTTTAAATAGGATGCCTAATAGGCATATGTATATTTTTTGTATCACTATTAATTTCAGTGGGGGTACTTTCTTCTCTATCTTTCTTGGGTGTTTTTTTTTTAAAAATATATATATATATATTATATAATTATAATTATATATATATATACATATATATTCACCACAAGAAACAGACAGACTTTACGTTTCGCCATCGCCGTCCATCGTTGCTTTTAGGGGACGTGACAGCGCTGTGCAGCAACGGTGAGCTGCTGATGAGTGGCGGCATCGATGCGAAGATTGCGCACTACACCCGCCTGCGGGGATCCCGGGAGGAGCTTCGAATGGCTTGGGACGACTGGGACGACTGGGACGGGGACATGTTGGTCTCTGGTTATGTCAAAATAGCTATTGAAAATGGCCATAGAAATAGTGGATTTTCCCATTAAACATGGTGATTTTCCATAGCTTTTTGTATGTTTACCAGAGGGTAGGCGTTTTTTTGGGGCAAAAATCAGGGACTTGGAGTGGGATATGAATATTTTTGAGGGAATTTTATGTTTTGGTTTTCAGGAAATGTCGTCGGAAATGTTGCGAATTGAATAGGAATTTCATGGGGTCGGTTTAATATCCCAAACATGTTATTGGGAATATTCCATTACACCAATAATACATTTCTATTCTATTGGGGATATCCCATTGTACATTTTACTGGGATTTAATGGGGATTGAATGCTTTAATGGGATTTATTGTGATACAATGGGATTCGGAATTCAATGAGCTATTTCATGAATCAGATAAAAAATGGTCAACGGTTAGTTTCACGTATAAGAACGTGTCATAAACTGCCCTTCCTAAGAAACAATCCCCTAATCTGGGAGGTTTATGATTGGGTGTAGCCCATCAGATAGGGGATGATTGCCACAGTTTTATGGGATTCTTTTATGGGATGAAACATCGGGTATCATCGATTTTTCACAAGCAACAATTCTTATCTAAATTTCAGCCATTCAGAAATTGGTTTGGGCGATGGACGTCCATCGAAATCGGTTCGGTTGATGGTTGGTGAAAAATCTCCGGAGGAGAGAAGCATCAAAAACCCATTGAGATTTGACTTTTTTGACTTGGGGATTTGACCATTAGGATGCTGAGTCTAAAACCACCATGGGAGTTTATCCTATGAGTGAGGGATTCTACTGACCATACTTCGCTGGTAAGCATGAGGGATTTTGAAACTGGTTATATTGATTTCTCACCACGTTTTCCTTATCATCTTTTTCCCAGCATGTATAAACTCATTTGTTTGAAGGGATCTGAAGCAATGTTTGGCACTTGGCTGGTGCTTCACTTTTGGCAGCTGGTCCGAAACTATGGTTGGAACGATTTTGCGAATGGGATACCTTCCCGTAATCTCGCATGGCAAATGTTTTTTTTTTTACATCGCAAGGATTGATTACTAGGGAGTACATCCATTCATATTCCATCAATATTCCATAGAATATCCGATGAATATTCCATGATATTCCCATTACATCCCTACAAAAGTAAAGTTAAGTAATGGTCACAAGCCATTGGATTATCCTACAAAATTGAAAATTCACAACTACCTGACAGATAAGATACCCGGAAGTTTCTTGGGGGTGTTCCTGAGAGATCTGCGATGCTGAAGATGCTGAAAAAAATGGTATATAGTATCTTATAAATCCTCATATAATGTGGGTAAAACAATGCCCCATTTTTGCCAGACATGACTGGGAATGGTAAGTTAAAAAACCACCGATAATTACTCATTTCTGGCGATTTGCCATATGGTGCAATTAACCACTATAAAGCACCATTAGCCATTGGTTTTAACAACTATTAAGGGTGGTTTACATTGGTTTTCCCCATAGTTTACTGTATAACCATGTATAACCCACGAACCATGGCCACTAACCGTTAGGGCGCTTCGTTCGGCAGGAACGATGGTTGCACAGCGATGTGACCTTCTGCGACTCGTCTGTTTTACAGAGCAGCGCGTTGATCGACATGAAAAATCCTTTGCTGATGAGTTGATGGATGGGATTATTATGGATAGTTATTGTAGGTTATTTAATAGTAATTGTAACCACTATTATTAACCACTTATGGTGATTATTACTCTGGTTGGTGGTTTGGAACATGGCTTTTATTTTCCATTGTATATGGGATCTCATCCTTCCCAACTGACTTTCATATTTTTCAAAAGGGTTAAAACCACCAACCAGTTATTATTTTGCTGGTGCTTAGTGGGGAATGGATGGGAATGGGGGAATGGGATTATTATTGATAGTTATTGTGGATCATTCCCTCATTCCCTACTAAGCACCAGTAAGTTATAATAAGGAATTTACTATATTACTATACCTGTAGGGAATATTATAAGTATAATATAATAATAAGGAATTCCTATAGCATTATTAGAATCAGGAACTTACGGTAATATTCCTATAGTATTATTATAATAAGGGGGATTATACTGTTTATACTTATTTTACCTGTAGGAATATTACTATATCTATTACCTGGCTTATTGGTGATTATAATAATGATATATTAAATAGGGATTATGATATCTGGCTTATTCGTGATTATTACCTACAGTCGGAATATTACTATTTCTCAATGGGAATTTCAGGATCCTAAAATGGAGGTACTGTACCATATAAGGCCATATTTTGTGGGGATATTCCCTTACATAGCCCTTACATAGGCCTTATATATGGTAGGTATCTCCAATAAATCGGTTCCTGAAATGGCCGTTGAATTTCTAACCTACCAGTCTTGGATTTTTTTCCGCCATGTTGGGGGATGGTCATCAGTCCTCCAGGGGATTTGATATACCCACCGTGTAAGACGAATCCCCAATGATAGTGGGATGACCTCAACCCATTCAATAGGGGGTGGAGAGACCTGATGACACCAACAGATCACAAACCAAATTCAAGACACCCTTTGACTATATGGCTATGAATCAATACCTATTAATACCATTTTTAGAGGGATGAACATCCATTTACCAGCTATTTCTATGTTCACCAGGGGTACAAGGTTTTGACCCACTGCCATATTGATATGTGGTGTGGAATTATGAACTTATTATTCATGATGGATTGGATTGGTTTAAGGGAAAATCTTAACCAGAAACCATGGTTTTTCCCTCCAAATCCAGGGTTTTCCCTTTCAAGTCTGGTTGTTCCCCATTTCGCAGGTCATTCACACGACATCCGGGCCATTGCCATCTGGAACAGCTCTCAGGCGCCACCACTGAAAAATGGTCCGATTTTCAAAGTTAATAGATGGTTAAACGGTTCAACCACAAAAAGTAACGGTACCCTGCAGTAAACGAATAGTGTTCTATGGAAAATTGGCCCACAGAAATAGATGATTTACCCGTTCAACATGGTGATTTTCCAGTTCGCTACATTGAATTACCCCAGGGCATTCCATGTGTGGGGTAGAACATGCTAGAACTATGGTTGCCAGTGGCGATTCGGGAGACGGCTAGTCAGGGCGACCGGCAAAAACCCACCTACGTCTCTGGTGGTGTGGCTGGGAATCTTTTCGTGCAGGCATGGGGCGATGTGGGAAGAGTGGGGGATTCAAGGACGCCAAAGAATGTTCACGACACAGTGATATTATTTGTATATTTGTATAATGTGGGTAAAACAATGCCATGTTTACCAGCCATGACTGGGAATGGTAAACATACCACATCATACCACCTATAAAAATGGTGGATTTTCCTGGGGGATGGTGCAGATGGCATTGTTTTACCCACATTTAAATCTTTCTTGGCCATTTTCAGTGCAAGGTCCGTGGCCAAGGGCGAATCAAAAGACCGATGGCCTCTTGGATCCCTTGGGTCGGAAGTTCACGGGCCATCAGGGGCACCCTCTGATTATTTAACATAGTTATGGAAAATGGCCCATTTATAGATGGTTTATGGATGTTTATGGTATTTGATGGTGATTTACCGATTAAAGATGGTGATTTTCCATAGATACGCTAAAGAACCATAAGGTAATTAAATGTCCCATTTTGATTTGTTTTGGGGATTTTGAACATCACTTTCAAGTACGTATTTGTTGGAGATTGTATCCCCAATAGTTGGTGATGTGAAAAATGAGTTCGTTTATCAACCCTTGATATGGGCAGATTCAAGATCCAGCGCCAGAGTTCTTGCATGCTTTAGTGACCTGCTGAGCATGCCATTCTGGGGTGATACACAAGTCTGACCCACGGCCAACTGTAGGGGGATTGGATATTACAAGACGGTATGCACAGTACATCAATCATCAACATCATTTTCCTGAGAATTTAGTTTCCTAACCATATGACAGAAATGATATGGTGATTTAATCATCTTTAATCTATGATATTTAGTCGTATTTAATCTATCATAATGCTGATTATGCTTCATGGTTTCCTAAGCATTGAATGGTTTCATGGTTTCCTAAGCTGATGAAGAACGAATCGCCCAGGAATGCTCCGCCTTCTCACCCTTGATGCACCAAGTTGCTCTGGCGGAGATTCGGAGATCATTCGGTGAAAGATCCAATCGCAAGGCCGCAAGGTGGTGCCCCAGGAAGTTAGATTGGTTGATAACATTCGATAACTAAGGTGTATGGCAATAATTCTAATTCTTGTTACTAGGGTATACTAGGGTATACTAGGGTGTTGGATTCAGTTAAATGATGTTGGATGATGTTTAAACCAACAATCATAACATATATTGTTAAACTGAATAAACGGAACATCAAGGGGGCATCACCTTGCAATGGGTGCTCAAAATTTGGACTGTATGGAGTTTGAATCATGGTTGAAGCATCAAAGGAGGGGTTTGACCTGGTTGAAGCAGAGGTATGATTTGATGGAGTTTCCCTCTTGCGACCTCTTTGAGAGCCAATATTTCATAGAGAAAACATGACAAACCATGACAAACCCTCTCTGGGAGCTCACCTCCTCCGCGCCAGTGGCGCCACTTGAGGTGTGCTTTGCCCAGTCCAGTCGTTTCATGCTCACGCAGCAAGCAAGACGGCTGCACCTTTGGTATATGAAGGACCGGAGCGATTGGAAGAGCTATTGAACATGGCACATTTATAATTAGTTGGCTTGTCTGTGAATAGTGGTGATTTGTGAAAGTTATGTGAGTTTACCAGAGACTAACTACGGTGACCCCTCCAATAATAGCTGGTTGGTGGTTTCAAACATTGTTATTTTCCATAATATATGGGATGTCATCCTTCCCATTGACTAATGATTTTTTTTTTTTCAGATGGGTAGGTATACCACCAACCAGATAGATGGTTAATAAGCCCCTTGGTGAATAAGAAGACCTTGATCATCAGTCGCCTTTGGTTGGCTGAATACCCTGCTTCGGATTGGTCTACTATGGTGCCCCAGTGTCTGTTGCTTAGGCCCAATGATCTATAGATATCCACCACAGCCTATAGTAGTATTCCACCAATATACCCTTCAGTAAATTAACATAGACCCTGAAAATAAGCAATTTATAGTGGAAACTAATCTTCCAACCCCTATCTGCCAGGGTCTATGTTAATTTACTGGACGGTAACTTAACCACGAAATTATCATTCTCGTTTTGGTTAGCTACTGTATATCCAACTTGGTTCAAACCAACTTAGCTATCGTGTTTTTTTTGGGCCCCACCTTGCTCAAGTTGAGAAGTACCCGGTAAACGAGCAAACCCCACTGGTGAACGTTTGCTTCATGTATTTAGTCCTGTGCATGATTAGGGGAACATGAGATGCTGCAGTTTTTTCCAGGTGCCTAGGCTTGGTAATGTGATACCTTTACTGAATAGGATATTGTGGATATATATATATATTTATATTTATATTTATTTATTTATGTACACACACATATATATATATACACATAATACATCATGATGCTCAAGTTGAAGATGCTAGCAAGGGAAACTGACCTGCCTACCACAATTATCAGGCAGTTCCTTTTGGGCTTGGAACCGAAGCCCTGGAATTGGGTGCGGCCTCCATTGCAGGAGCCACAGCTGCGGCTATTGGACGGAGAACTGGTTGAACCTGAAGTTCAGAAGGTACCGAGAGCTTTCAATGATAAACTCGGTTGTGCACGTAAGCTTTCAGGGTGCTATTTTCTGCTACCTGCTACCAGTCATTATCCAAAAGTCTGCCTTCCGCCGGTTTTTGCATATTTTCTTGAGATGAGTTTGCCACGTTCCACCTGTTCCATAGACAGCCTGGTGAAACAGGCTCTTGGTTGAACTTTTGAAGCTTTTCTCTTTCATCCGGTATTATGGTCCTCCCAAAGTCATTGACAGTGCAATATTTTTCCAGTAACATTGAAATCTTGGAGGGTAAACCTTATTTTCAGGCCCCAAGTTCCGAACTTACGATGTTCCGCGAAGACGTTCATAGACGTTCCGTAGCGGGATCACCTCGCCTCGCGAGGTCATCTCCATCATTTTGGCGAGGAAAGTGAAAAGCAACCCACCTGAAGCGCACTGCCAGGACCTCATGAATAGATAACCATTATTTTTTTTTAAGACATACCAAAATCGGCTGACTTTGTTTTTCTTTTGGGTTGCATATATGTTTTATATTGTTACATAGTTATTGGTCAACTTTACTTTATTTCCTTGTCACATATAGTAATATAGATATTTAGATAGATATATAATTACACATATTATATATACATATATATATATTAACACACACACATATATATATACATAAATATATACATATATACAGTAAATATATATACATATATAAATAGATATACAAATATATACATATCCCAAACGCTCATGTTAGTATTGGAACCCTCAGAATGCCTTGGTCCCTCGGGGAAAGAATGGTGAGGGCCCATGAGGGCCTCTAAGGTATTCAGGACCCTCAAATACCCTCAAAGATCACTGGTTTGGATGTGTTTTGGATCCTGGGACGGTTGGTTGACCGCAGCACCTTTTTTTCATCGGCCTCCCTGAGCGTTCTATTGGGGCGAACGTCCGGGCACCAAGTCACCAAAGAGATCACAGCTTGTTCAACTCTAGGTGTACCAAACATAGATACCTTTCCAAAGTCCTTCGCGACACATTCCCTTTGTGGGTTGCCCTTGCGATGCGACCTAGTCGCCCCACCCAGTCCTCCGCAGCCAACAATTGAGACATACGCGGGTTGATCCGCTCACGCCTTGTCACCTTCGCGTGATGGTAGTAGTGATGATGCTTTGTAAGCAAGTACCACATTGTGCGGCCGGGATCTCTCCCCCTGGCATTTCTGCTCTTGGTGTGAAGAGCAGCATAGCTAAGAAGGTGTAGATTCACTGATTGGTAATATGACTCGGCCTCCTCCTCCGTCAAGACAAGACCTGTTGTGTCCATCTTTCGCAGAGCGCTCGCGTATGCATGTAGGCAAGTAGACACCATGCGATCCAAGTCTGTGGCCCGTTGACGCGAAGCAAACTCCACACAGCAGTTAGCAATCCAAAAAGTCACAACTTTGGATGGAATGCCTTTGCTCGAAAGCACGGGATAGTTCATCCTAGTCTTCCTCCCCAAACGAGCGGGTGTGAATCTGGGCTGCGAAACCACCAGCCTGTGCTGCTTTTTCCAATTCAGAAAATGTACATGAGCTTGGCGTAGCACCACTGCTAGGGCATCTTGGTACAAACCGTTTGGAAAGTTCCCCCAGTATCCCCTTTCAGCCAAATAGATGATGGCACTGCCATTCACAGTTTTCCCAGTACCAAGCAGCTGCGAATGCAAGCAGTCATGTAGAACTCTATCCAGCGAAATGCCCAATGAAAAAATCACAGAACCTTGACGCAAACATTTTTGAAAGTGAAAACACTATGCAACGCATTGCAATTCCAATTGTATCATTTGTAAGGTGGGCAAATGAAAAAGAATTCAAAGGATAAGTCTTATACGCCTAGATGCGGTTTTGATGGAACTCGCTTAGGTCAGGTAAGCTTGATGCATGAGCAGCGTTTTCGCGAAAATCAGCAAGTGTCATACCAGGGTCTTCAGACTTTTTCACGCAACCACAAGTTGAACAAAAGGCATTAGCCCTGTAGTTGTGGAGCCCGTACACATCCCTGAGAAATTTGAGATCCCCTTGAATGGAGGATAGCAAAAAGACATAGCCATCGGATGACCAGTCATGAAGTACTGTTGGGTCCACCATGCCTCGCACCCGGTCCACCACAGGTTTCATGATATCATCGTAAGTGTGTTCTGTGGCAGCATATTCTGGATATATAGCAATTGGAAAATACCTTGTAAGCGATGAGTTTCCATATGCAAAGTCCGAGCACCACCCAAGCGCTGTAATTTGCCCAGTTTCAGAACCTCTGTAAGCCGCAATACCATCACCATAGAAACTCATGGGGATGATCTTGTCCATCACTGGGTAGTCATGACATGGGCTACCTTTGAACCAGTCACATGTATTTTTGCAGTGGTTCCAGAAATTTCGGACTTCATCCGGAGTATGTTTTCCAAACATTGTGTGATACCAGACTTTCTTTCCTCTGGCATACAGAGCATTCGCCATATCATCCGGGTATATCACAGAAACCTCTTGCCATTGAATTGATGCTGAAGCATGGCAATAGAATCGAGCTGGAACACTGTGGATTTTGACCCCCAGGCGTTTCGATAGAGACTTCAATAATATATGGAAGTCCCTTTCAGCATTTTGGGTATGTTTGCCGCTTGTACCCACCAAAGAGATACGATGCACTAAATCAGTTTTTTGTACAGTCCCACCGGATTGTTTGCACCACTGAAGTGCAGAAGCAGCTGTTTGTTGAACCTGGGCAACACCCCAATCTTTTTGGTCTAAGGACAGGGGGAACATCATAATCAACAGTTGTATACGGGATGGTTCATTGATAATCTTTGTAGAGCTCAGGGTTTGTCCCATGAAAAGCAAGTTCATTTGAACCCAAAATCCAAGGTCCTATCCCGAGGGGAAAAAACATCAAAACTTGAAACTACCCATCCATGATTGAATCCTGGGTTGTTACATGGATTATATAATATACATCCAAAATATGGATAATATGTGGATAAATTATCAATTTGTTGTAAAATTTGGTGATAAAAAAATCAAAACAAGTAACTCTGGTCGCGCTGGCTTTGCCAGATGCGAAATCATCCACCAAAAGGTCTTGAAATTCTGGAAGTTGTTTGGGAGGGGCTCCCCTTGCTTTTGCAGCCAAGATATGTGGTTCCTCATGCGGTGTCAATCGAGGTCGCTTGGATGGCTGCTCCTGTGCCGGAAAGTGACACGAGGCTTGGGAAAAGGGACCTGGGTCGAACATTCCAAGATTGATTCAGTGGGTTGATATATCTTTGAACATTGCACTAGACTTGCTAATTTTTTCAACATAAGCGATACGATGTTTGATCAAAGATTCTTAAAACGGAAATATCCCCTAGGTAGTGTCCTTTGCACCATCATTCTTCGATGATGTAGCTGTAGTAATGTCACGTCGTCTTTGGAGTCCTGGCTATGGGGAATCTAGATGAATTTATTTAGTCGAAAAATGATAGATGGCTTTCCATTTCCAACTGAACAAAGTCGTCAATGAGATCTTCAATTTGTTCCCCTTTGCGCAAGATGTCACCATATTCTGGCATGGTAAAGCTAACGCACAGCATTGCTGCCACAGGGACTCTGGTCCAGCTGTGACATCCATCCCCTAAGTTGGCCCCTTAAGAGCATTGATTAGACAAGACCATCAGTTTTGAAAAGAAAACTTGGTCACTCAGAAAAGAGATTGGCGTCATGTGTTTGACGACTGGAAACGTGCTCCATCACTTGGCCCCGCTCGAGGTGCCCTTCGCTTTGTCCTGGAAATTGCGTGGGACCCAGTGCAGTGGACTGGATGGAGCAGGAATTGCTGTGAATGGAACTGGACCAAGGCATCTGGAGGGTTCCAATACTAACATGAGCGTTTGGGATATATATATATATATATATTGATGGGTTGGATATTGAACTAACATGTTGGAATCTAAAATCATGTTGGAACTAACAACTAATAGCGTATGGAACTGACAACTAACATGTTGGCATCATGATGGCAACGATCCCCAGGTGTAAAATCATGTTTCCATAGATGGGCGTACCCGGTATATATACCAAAAAAATGGTAAAACACAACTGTATCAGTATGAGGTGGATGTTTCTTGTTGTCACCAGATTGGATGCAGTTATGGCCCTTTACAGTTATAAGTAGTTTCATAATGATCTATAACCTGAGTTATAGGAGATATATTTCCATTTATAACTGTTAAGGGCCATAACTGTGGATTTTGTTTTGGGGGAAACCGTCCTTTGACCCCGACGAACGCGTTGGCTTCGTCAGAGTATTGGCCTCACCAGCATCCTCCTGGTAGAGCTGCATGCGCTGGAGTGCCAGCGTGGTAGCTGCGGTCAACTGGTCCACCTCCGAAGGATCAATTTCCTCGCGGGATATGAGAATATGGGTTATTATGGTGGCTATTTCATGTAATATGCTCCATAGCTTCGGGATTTTCTGGATCGACATATATATGAAATTATAAAGGATATCTCCAACTCGAACAGTCATACATTGTCACCCAAGTGGGGGTCACAAACTTCTCGGGTTCTCCTTGTTCACAGTCATGCGTGTGAGCTGGATGAATGAACGTTCCAGCTCATCCGCATGCCCCTGGAAGCTTTTGCCTTAGTAAGCAAACATGGGAACACATGTATTATGTACATATTAAGCATGGGAAAGGAACTAGATAATCAATAATATGGGATAAATTTGAAATATTGCCATGTACCTAATTTTATCCAAATTAATTGATGGGGTGAGTAATGAGGCAAGCTACTCAATGCCTCCTGGTGCTTCAAGTGCGCCAGTTTCACGGGCCACATGCGCGCCCCCTGAAGGTCCCCGGACAACTTATTCAAAATCCACAGGGCACGAGGGCGAAGTTCATCAGGCATTTCATTCCTGAACACCACCAAAAGAGTAGATGTGGCATTTCACCATGACCAAATGGAAATACATTCGCTTTGGACTCATTTTTTCAACACAGATATGGCAATATTTGATCTAGATATCTCAGGGATCTTGATCTATGTTTGACATTTGTTTGATTAATCCAAGAATCTTCCTCCTCCCGGCACCCTCCCCGGCTGACTTTGGCTTCGGCTTGGCTGCGGCCTTGGGCTTTCCCTGAGGACCTTCAGCCGATGGCGCAGCCACGCTTGTGTCGGGAGTCACAGCACCACCCTCCGACTTGGGCAGCTGCAAGCTGTGTAGGCGAAGGGGTTCACACATGATGCCACCCCCAAATGCATTCAACTCAGTCTCTGATGCAAACCGTTCAGCCTAGCCAGGGGTCACACAGTAGAATGAATCATCACCATGGGATCCCGTATGCAATTGAAAACTGGTGTATTTTTCTTCATGAAATGAATGGTATTTTTTGTCAAGCTAATCACCATCAAACATGTTGAGCACCTGCTCACCGGTGGCTTCACCAGAAACCGAAAGATCCACACGATCTTCATGTTCGTCCTCATCAACCCGTTCCATGTCCAACAAGACATAAAACAACGTAGCATTTGCATCTCCCGGGCTGTCAGGGTGCTCTTTGAACTCCGAGTTCCGGGTCTTCATATCAATGATACGATTCACTGTTTGCTCATCATTGTGCATAGCCATGAGCTGCGCACGGGTCTTCCAGCCTTGGCATGACAGTCTTGGTATCAAATGATAGCGATGCATATTTCCATCATGCCTACATGAAACATATATAGTGATCATCATGATATATATAATATATATGTATGTTTTACATATACATGCATACATCCTGTTTCATTGTGGTCCTGCAGTTCGATTTAGGAGTGTTCCAGTGGTTCCCCAAAAAAAATGCCACCGGTGGACCTCTCATGGCTGCCTAAGGTTTGGACCATAGCGCTTTCGCCCAATGGTTCTGTCAGTGCGGCTCCTGGTGGCCTTGATGGACAGCCTTGGTGGAGTGGCAGAATCAAAGTAACCATAACCAAGAGGGATCTGGGGAGACCACTTGATTGACCATGTTTCCACATATTTGTTTGACATATAGATGAGAGCCCCGTACCCGTATAACCACCAAGAAACTTTGACCAGTCTTTTCCAGCTTTCAAGAAAGACTGGAAAACAGCATTCTTTGCAGCACGACTCCTGCTCTGAACAGCTTGCTTCCATGATGCCACAATTTCATCGGGGATGCTGTAGTTTTCACTTGCATCCAGCTGCCTTGCATCAAGGGGAAATCAAATGGGAACTCAAATTAAAATATGGTGAATTAAATCAAAATTATGCGAAGAATCCATGGGGAAATGAACTGGAGAAATCAAAGTAACGAAGCATCTATTGGGAAATCAAATCATACAGTGATAGAGTTGTCAACTCAATATCAAAGCTGGGTTTCAGGTTGTGGGTTCATATGTTTTCACAGACAGTATGATTGTAATACCCCCCTACACCTGTGAAATGATTCGGTCCTAGGTATATTAATATTAAATGCATGAGGTCCACCCGTTACAGGCCTCTTCATTTGAGCATAGTGAGCCTGTCGCTCTTTGTAGCCTTCAAATGTGACTTCTGCACCAACCTCAAACAGAATGGAAGCTGATTTTGGAGCTAGATTTGATTTCTTTTTAAATCTAAACTATGTTCAAGAAGGGTGATGGAATTTGATCCATGTTTTCTTTAATGTTTTTATGTTCATCAATGCCACTAAGAAACGGGGGCTGAAATGTGGATCTGGCTGGCTAGCTGCGAAGCTGGGATCATGCCATTGCTGGCTGGTGCTGCTGGAAGGGGGCTAGCTGCTGGCTTTGGGCTTGCACTTGCTGGTGGCGGTAAGGCCAATGACCGAGGCGGCACAGCTGCTGGCACATGTGGGGCTGCTGCATGTTTGGCAGGCGGAGGCACAGGCAATGTGGTTGCCGTTGCTGGTGTTGCTCTGGCAGGGGCTGGAGGCAAGGGCATGGCTGCTGGTGCTGCTTGTGGTGGTGCTGCTGCTGATGCTTTCATAGGCGGTGCAGGGGCCAAAGTCAAAGGCTTCAGCACTGGCATTTTTGCTGCAGGCTTGAGTATCGAAGTGGTTGCTTTGGCAGGTGCTGCGGTGTCAGGCAGGCTGTGTACAGTGACATTCTGTGTAAATGTCACTTGTTTGGGCTTCTTTGCAACTGCAACTAATGCTGTCTCCTCAGGATTGGGGTCTGGGAGTGCGTTCTCAACACACGGCCTCGAAGGGTCTTCTAGCCACATGAGCCAAGACACAAGCTCTTCCTCTTCATCATCAGCCCCAAATCTGGGGATATCCTCATCACCACCGACACCAAAGATCTCATCCCGTCTCCAAAGCTCGAACTGTGGAAACAGGCTATGTCTTTCTGCTTTTTGAATGGAACGAGTGATCTCCACATCATCCATTTTACAGACCCATGCTCGAACCCTCTCTTCTCGCTGAATATCGGTTTCGGTTGTCTTCCCATCATCAGGTGTTGGGGTTGGAGCCGGGCACGTTGCTGGCGTAGGGGCAGTGCTGTGATCATCAGGGCTTGGGGTGTTGGCCTTTGCCAATGCTGCCGTGGTGCTGGAAGGTGAAATGGCTTTGGCTGAGGTGGGTGAGGCTTTGGCTGAGGATGGGGATGGAGCGGTTGACTCTGTGCTTGTGGGTGATATGGGTGATGTGGGACGTGAGGCTTTGGCTGAAGTGTCAAGGGCCAGGCTGGCACTGGGTGGCAGAGTATCTTCACGTTGCTCTACCTTCATGCTTGGCCGTGCTTTCTGCTTTCTCAGAGCTGCTGCTGCTGTGTTTTGTGTTGGTCTGACCTCCATTTTCACCCCTGCTTTGGACATGGGCACTGGGACTCCATGGACATTCACGTAAGCTGGTGTTCCTGGCGATGGTTCGGTCTCGGGACAAGCTGGTGGTGATGCTTTGGGCGGTGGGGGTCGCAAGACCATGGCGGCATGGGCTGCCACAGGCGGCGGGGCTGCCAATGGATTGGCCAATGGGGTGGCAGGAGGTCTGCCTGTTCCCTTCACTGCACATGCCTTTTCAGTTTTTGTTTTCTTTAAGGGAGCCTCAGGTGGCGGCACCATGCTATCAGGCACCCGGGGCGCTGAGCATTTGGCTTTCTTGTTCACACTGGGGCTTGGAGCGGGCGAGGGTCGTTCAGGCTTTGCTGGCACAGGTGTCATGACTGGGCTTGCTTTGGCGCAGCTGCTTGGGGATGCTGTAGTGGAAACGGTCTCTGCACTGAGTGGGGAAACTGACCTAAGATACAGAAAATATCAGACATGTAAAATGAGTAGATTGTTGTGAAATGAAGGTAGTTGTAAAAAGTAAAATGAATTTGTGGTGAATTGATGATGAATTGGTGGTTGGATTTCATACCAAGTGGCTCCATCAACTTCATTGCAGGATCATCTCGAGGTGAAAAATCCAAATTGGTAGGCCAAAGGATATCTGTCACCTGCATGGGGCACTGTGGGAGACCCATTCACTTTTGCAACACAAGGTTTGGTACACCTACCTGGATTATATCAACAAGAATCGGCACCTGGGACTCTGATGCAGCGACCGTGGTGGCTTGGGAATCTTCCTGCATGGGTGTTTTTTCTATGTTTGTTCCCCTACATCAATCAATGAAAGAAGGGCTGGCCATATTTTCATAGATACAGTTTGCAGGTACCCACTTGAACTATCCACTGATTATTCAACCTAGTTATGGAACATCATATACTGTATATATAGACCATGTTCGATAGATAAAGAACCAGCGGGGTAAGTTGGAACAATCCCCACACCAAAATGTCCTCCACAGGGCTGAATCCAGCGGGAGATGTCATCGATCGCGTCGCTGGTGGCGTGTGGAATGCCTCCAGCTTTTCAATTTACAAAATACCAATTACTTACACATTCATTGATGCCCATGCAATGATCATGGAAGGGTTGATTTATGATTACAATCTCGCCTGGGAAGCTCCAGGAAAACGTCGAAAGAACGCTTTCTTATCAGAAGCAGTGCAAGGGCTGAAGCTAACAGACCTGTTGTGGTCCTGGGAATCACATTTAAACAACACACGTCCCCCAATGGAAGGGATATGAAGGGGTGCAAACAAATGACACATCAAAAGTGTTTTCGGTCCTCCACCATCTTCCCAAGATTGCTCACCATGTTTTCTCAGGTCTACTTCGACCAAAATGGAGCGGCTGGGAGACCAAGATCAGACAGGGTGAAAAGTGGTACCCCAAAAAAAACTTATCTGACGGTATTTGATGGTATCTGACGGTATCTGATGGTATCTGATGCCATCTCACGGTAACCTATTTGGAAATTAGATGCAATTTCTATCTGACGCTATCTGACGCTATCTGACGGCTGGTCCCTCGCGAAAGTAAGGATTCGAGGGACCGCCAGGGACCCATCCGATGCTATCTGACGCTATCCGACGGGCTATCTTTCCAAATGGTGGTGGTCCCCTGTATCTGATGGTATCTGACGCTATCTGACGGTATGTTTTGGATGGCCCCCGGTGATGATATCTGACGCTATCTGACGGTATGTTTGGATTCCATTCCCCACATGCCCGGTTTGTTCAACGCTTTCTGGAACACTCATCAACAGATAACCTGTGGAGAGCACCCAAGATTACCGATGAACCATTGGAAACATTTTTTTAAAGCAGCTATCATTTTATAGAGCTCATTTTCATTAAAACATTGGGTTGCCTTCATAATATGAAAAATAATCTCATCCCAATAATCTCATCCCAAAACTACGGATGGAAGAAATCCTGCACCAGTGTAGATGGGTTGTCCATGATTATACTAGTAACGTATAATCCCATATTTAGAAAAGGTATCATATATGGCATCTCACTGGAGCAGGCTTTCTTCCGTCCATAGTTTTTCTAAAACCCGTTCGGGATACCCTTCAAAGATAGGATGCACAAACATACCCTACATCCCATGTGCTGTCCCTGCATTTTTCTTGGGCACGAATGTGCGATTGTCCCCCCACATTTATCAACATGGGAGCTAATTGAGCACAGGGGCGCCAAGTGTACATTGAATTGTGGCCACCAACATGGTCAATTGGTAGGACCCAGCGCTAGGATCACACAAATCCACCCTAGCTATAGAGATTCACGTCGTGATTTGCTACGACGCTCATTCAAATAAGTTTCCAACCAAGACATCACATGTTCTAGGTTAGCGTCATCCCAAGTATCCTTCTCATGGTTCACCATTGGTTCCACTGGTGCAGAAGTGGACATCAGGTTCTGCGGAGGAGCCGCTGGATTGTGGAGAGGAAGCCAGGCATCTCGCACCTTGGTGATTGCGCTGGCTGGGCGAACTGCTAGTGCAGTGCTGGGCAATGTCCTGTCCACATGTGGTTCACCTGTGCCTGAAACTACTGACTTCTAGGGTTTGTTCCACATGAAGAACATCAACCATGTTGCCGGAGAATAGCATGGATCTACTTGGAACAACCAGTGATGTTGCCTTTACCATGAATGCTAGCATTGACTAATAACTCATAGATCCCGAATCACCCCCAAACCCCAAGGATTTGACCAAAATGTCTCCATGTGTTGGCAGCCCAAGCGCTGCACGGGCAAATCGAATGGGATACGCTTGGCTCTCTTTAAGCCGTTGGCCACCCTTGAAGCGACGCCTTCCCCGGCGATCAGTGTAGTGAATCACCAAGCCTCGTCGTCCAATATACCGGCGACGTCGCAGTCTCCTGCGGCCGTTAGGTAATTAGGGTATTCAAAATATGTAATTATCATGTGGAACATATATTATCCTTCACCCAATATGTATATATTCTGCATTTATTGGGTTGTGGTTCATTCATGGGGGCCATGTACACATTATTCCCCATCCTTGAATTATATGAATATAGGTGGCTCTGCTACTGCGTTGAAACCAGGAAAGTCCTTCGTAGTGGTTCAATAAAATTGGAATTAGACCACAGCCGAATAGGTTTTGGAGTTCCAGATCCATATTCACCAAGCCATGTGAAGGTCGAGCTGATGCCAACATTTGCAAATAGTTTGGCCAGTCGTGGATGGAAAGGTAACTCAGTGGAGGTTGGGCATCAAGAATCAAATCATTAAGCCTTAAGCGTAGTAAACTTTGACAAACATATCATGTACATTGTGGCACAATTAAGATTCAAACCAATGATGTCATCGGATTCTCAATGACAAACTTTCCACCGACGTGCAAGATGGCGTAGCAGAGCAACGCGCACTTAGATGCGCAACTGGTGACCCCACAAAAGTGAACACCACACCGTTACGGAATGTTACGGACATGTTAAGAAAGGATTGCAAAATAACCCCAGGGCTTTTGTATACCAATCTCATGAATCTCCAAAACCACCATTATAATGATACATATTTGGGATCCCAGTGAAACTCCATAAAACCAATTTCCAGAATCCAGATAGCCCTAGCAGAATCATGCAGTTGATACGAACCCAACATGTTCATCACCTCCTGATGTTGCTGTGCAAGCATCTCGTGAAACCAAGGTATTAGCCAATCCTGCGGACTTCTCATTCCTTGGCAAATGCAAGGAGTGTGGGCCCCAACTGGGATCATTGGAGAAGGGTTCCAACAGGTATGCAAGTCATTTTGGATATCATCAGACCCCCTAGTTATATGTGGTCATGTGTTCATGCATGGAATTGTTCAATTGGTCTCCTTTCATTGGGGTTTTGAAAGCTTTTACGATCCAGAATTTAACCTATAATTTACATTTCCCAGAACTGCACCCCCAAGAAACAATGATTTTGTTTCTTCAAGGTTCCGGTATGCAATAAGAAGTACCACAACTATATTGGTCGATTCAAAACACTTGGGTTGTTAAATTCCATTCATGTACCCACTAATTGCAAGTGAGTTTCGATCCAAGAGGACAGTCTTTTGAGCGATGACTTGTTCCTCCTCAGAGCGGGCAAGTACTTCAAAGACTAATGTTTGATTGGGTTTTGATTTTACATATGATGTCGATGAGAAATACGTGAACTGTACATTGATCATACATTACAGGGTGGATGGTGTCTTCATATATAATAAACATCGATAGTTTTTTTTTGTTGGTGGGGAGGGGCACCTCTCAACTGATCCTGTTCTTTAAATATCCATTGGCAATCCAACCCCAAAATGGGAATTCCTTTGTGAATCAAGTGTGAGTCAAGACCAGCAATATGGATGCCTTACCAATGTCCAAAAAAGAATAGACATCAAAAAATCATTTTGACCCACAACAGTCAACTATGTTTGTTCAAACTTGGCTCTTGGGCGAGTTGCGATTTATGGTGATCCAAGTGGAACAAGGAATCCCCATGACCACCAGTCCAGTCGTTGCGAGCTGTAACACCGCCAGCAAATGGCGACAGAATCCTTTGGGCTCCAGTATGTCCTTAGGTATCCAGGGGATGAGCACAAACCAAAGGTAAAGTAGAGAGGCCCAGAGACATAAGGTTAAACCTAACATCCATATAATCTTGTAAATACAAGGGTCGTCAGCTTCATCTCTGGAGATATCAAGAGTACACACCTTGTGGCCAATCTCTGTAAAGGCCTTTGAAATTCGAGCACGTCCAGCGAACATGTCAATGCAAGTGAACTTGCCCGGAGTGTGCACAAATGCCTGTCATGGGAACAGATTTTGAAGTCCCATGGATGTCACAGAACTCGTGTAACCTACGGTAACCCCAAACCATCGAAACTTAGACTTTAGCTTTCAGGATTGTTAGGATTTCCCTTATTGGAAACTTTCATATCACCCCCATTCTCAAGGAATTAGGTCGTACATGTACAGTATATGTATGGCCATACAATATTACCTTCTAACTCTAGGCATGGGATAAAATATTCTACGTAGGCATGGGGTTATTTAAATGTTATATAGTTCTAAAATGGGGATCCCCCAAACCGTAGGTTTCAATCATACTCAAATGGCACCATTTTAGAAATTAAAACCATGGATATATTTTTAACCCCCAACTCTAGGACCTGCCCAAGTAAAGCCATCAAGCACCACAGCCGGAAAGGCATTCCAAGCGGGTGAGTGGGCCCATCTGGGATCCTGCGAGGGATCATCACTGGGAGCCGCTCTTCCTCTTCATCCATAGCATGCCTTAGTTTGAATATGTTTGAACACATGTTTTGCAGATATC